TTTAATGTCAGAGTTAATTAAGTTTTTCTGAAACTTTCTTAGATATATAAAGGTTCATGATTATTTTGTCTTCTTAGTAGATTGTACCTTTTATCAAAGGATATTGCCTTCTATAACTTTTTTACATTCTTTCCTTTTCAGCCTTTCTGTATCATTTTGTTTCCATTATTGCCTCAGATGACATATTCATATATTTTTAGTTTTCAACAATTTGAGAAACTGTCTTTTAATGTGGGCAAACTATTTATATTTATTATTATTGACATGTTTAGTGATTTGCTGCCATATTTTCCACACTTTGCCTCTTAACCCCTTTCCTGCTTTTTTTGTTGTACTTGACCCCTTACCCCTTCCTTTGGGGTTTATTCTTAGTGATTGAAACCACTTACCTTGTAGTCAAATCCTACTCAATGGTGACCTCATGTGTGTCAGAGTAGAACTATAGAGTTTTCAATGGCAGATTTTTTTGAAGTAGATCACTAGGCCTTTCCTGTCAGGTGCCTCTAGGTGGATCATTGCCAATCTTCCTGTTAGCAGCCAAATTCGTTAAACATTTGCACCACCAAGGGACTCATGTTGAGTGGTTAGGAAGTTGTATTTCCAGTATTTTGTTAGACTTTAAATGCTGGCTTGGCTAGGTATAAAATTTTTACGTTGAAGATGATTTTTCTTCAGAACTTTGAAGTTGCTAACTTTGTCATATTTTAGTATTTATTGTTGGTAACAGTCTGATACCATTTTGGTTCTTTTTCCTTTGTAAGTAATCTGGTTTTTTTCTACCTCAAAGCTTTCAGGGTTTTTGTTGTGAAATTTTATCGTCATGTGTCTAAAAAGGTATGTTGTTACCTTTCTTCAATTTCAGGAATATTTTATGTCATCCTTTCTATGCTTTTCCTTCTAGAACTGCAGTTAAATGTTGGAACTTCTGGATTTATGCTCTGTGTCATTTAAGCTTTTCTCTAAACTTCCTACTTCTTACCTTCCATTTAAATTGCATTCTGGGAGAATACCTTGGCTTCATCTTCTACTTGTTAATTTGCTCCTCAGGTGTGCCCATTCTAATATACAGCCCATCCACGGAGTTAATTTTAATACTCCTTTTTCAAGATCTCTAATTGATGCTCTTTAAACATAACCTATTTCTTTTTTTGATGAATATGAGAGCCTCTCATTCCTCATTAAATTTTAGTTGCTTGGTTTACCTTGCTTTCTTAGATAACTAGTTTTCTGTTTGATTTGAGTGCCTCTCTTTTATAGTACTCATTTTCCTTTAGTGTTAACCATTCTTGATTGTGTGCTCTCTTGGAAGATAGAGGTGAAGTATGTCTATCACTTACCTCTTGGGTATAGAGGATCCTTACTCCTACTGGATGACTCAGTCTATTTGGAACTACTCCAGTCTAGGAGCAGATATGTCTTTGCTTCTCTCTGGTGGAATGGGAGGATTATTGAGGTTGCTTCAAATGTAGGTTTTTAGTAGTAACCTTAAAATAGTTGCTCCCCAGAGCCCACAGCTATATGAGGGCTTCAGTTGTCTTCTGTTGGGGTTTCTACCAAGGTTTTTCTCTTTATTGCTTTAGCCCTGACTGACTTTATCTCTAAAATATGTTTCAAGGTTGCTTTTTAATGTGTATTTCCAGATTTTGGAAGAAGATTAAAGCTATTGAAAAATGGAAAATTTTACATTTCTCTAAGACCTATTTTTGCTTTTCTTGGTCCCTTTCATCATCTGACATCCCAGTTTTAAAATACACATGTTCCTTGTTGATACTGGCTAGACAAACTGTAATGTTTTGGACTTAGATCATAGTTTTCTACAAATCCTTCTTTGTACACTATACATTTAAAAATTAGCTATAGTTGTAGTTAAATTAGAAGAGGAAGGAAGCAAAAGGTAAATGGAGAGAAAAGCAGGAAAGAAAAATGAAGCAGAAATAAAGAAGAAAAGAGAAGATGCAAGAAAGGGTTGCTATCTTTATCTTTGTGCATGAGAACTTTTCTTTATTTGCTTTTATGTCACTCCCTAGTCCTTCTGTTTCTTTTATTGCTGATTTTGCTGATGAATATTTTTGAATATTCCAAATTACAACTAGGCCCCACTTTATGATGGGGTTCTATTCCCAGGACAGTTGTAGGTTGGTTCTGACATAAGTCAGATACTTTTTTTTTGTTTTTGTTTTCACTATTACTGCCTTTTATTATCAGTATCTTTATAAATCCAATTTGTATTTGTCTTTGGAGGTTGGAAACATTACACATAAATGTAAAAATATGATGACATCAGCAAATTAAGCCTTGTAGCGTTGTATGTAGTTCATATTACTAATAAGTTACACCAACAAAACAGTTGTAAGTGCAGTTTGCAGTAACTCAAATACGTCGTAAGTTGGGCCCTACTTGTAGATCCCTGTTCATCTTGTTCCTTGAAGAGAAAATGGTTTGTGAAAGCTGATTCCTATTTGATGCTTTAAAATGAGGGGGGAGGGGAGTCACCAAACAAGAGCAGTTACTAAGCTCCAACAGGAATAAGAGATCAAAAACATTTTCTAGTGGTCCTTTCACCTGGCAACGATGTGTTTCTCTATTCTGAGCAGCTTGAGGTGACATACTTAAATTAAATAATTATCTTTTTGTTATAGGTACTGTTCTAGGGCATTTAAAAAAAAATACCTCAAACATAAGGAAAGATATTTCACATTTATTTCCTTTTCTCATGCATTACTGATTTAATGTTCATTGTATTTTCCCCAAATTTTCATTAGTTTTGGGAGTTTAGTTTTGCCCCAGCTTCTGTAACTACAAAACTCGTTATATTTCTACTTTCACATTCTGTGGAACATTTTCTAGAAGGAAGTTATTTAAAGAGTTGTAAAATAAGATAATTATATATAAAATGGATGTTTTCTAGATTAGAAGACTTAATATAAAAATATTGGTTCTTCTTAGAACGAGTGCATATCTTTAGTTCAATTTGTATGAGACTCCCAAACAGATTTTATTTTGCCTTTTGATTGGGTAAGCTGAACTTAAAGTTTATATGGAAACACAAAAAAACAGCATCACGGAACTTGCCCTTTCAGATTCTGTCTTGGTTCTTTAGTGCTGCTATCACAGAAATGCCACAAATGGATGACTTTAACAAACAGGAATTTACTCTCTTACAATTTAGGAAGCTAAAAGTCCAAATTCAGAGTGCTGGCTAGATGAAGGCCCCTTGACCTTAGGCTTCAACTCTGCCTCTTGTTACAGGCCCACTGGAGCTAGAGGCTTCTTCTGGCTCAGGCAGCTACTAGGCTGACGAACCCAAATGAAAGGGCACAATTCCAAGATCAGCAGGCAACACAGGAAAACGGTGCCAAAAGCTAGAGACCTTTCTCACAGCTTCCCTGTATGTACTGGAAGCAGGCCACACCCTGAAGGGACCGCCCCTTCAACTGATGAGGTGCTCACAGCAGATTCCATATGGAGGTGATTATAATCTTCATCATGAGGAATAACTATATCCATCTGCCAAACCACTCAAAACCAGAACTCAGCCAAGCTGACACATAGCCTAACTACCACAGATACTAAGGCATCCTGCATCACTAATAATCAGGTTAATATATTGTAGATACAGATAAATAAGATAATAGATCTTTCAAGAATATATACCAGCCTATATGTTGTATGCTGTCAAATCAATTCCAACTCATAGTGATTCTGTATGACAAAGTAGAACTGTCCCATAGGTTTCCAAGGCTGTAATCTTTATAGGAACAGATCTTTTCTCCCACTGGTGAATTCAAATTATCAGCCTTTAGTTTAGCAGCTGAATGCTTAGCCACTGTGCCACCAGAGATCTTTACCAGGATATATAGCAATTTAATATATGCAAAAAGTAGGCAAAGGCTGGATTTTTTTTTTTTTTCTTAAAGAAATTGCACCTGATTGTGAGGAAAATATACTTTTGTCTTACATTATTTACAGAATTGGTTTTAAAAAAAGAACATTTCAGAAAATCTTGGAACTCATGGATATAATCTAGCATAAGGAAACCTTAAGACTAGTTTCTAAAAAATTGAAACCTGCATGGCAAAGTAATACCATAAATGAAGTTGATGGGCAGCGGTAGGTTTGGGATAAAAGTTGTAATGCAAATGGCAAAGTGCTTCTATTGTCTATTCTACACTGTTGACAGCCTAATAGAAAAATAGGCAGTGCACATATGAATAAGTGGTTTTCAGAATAAGAAAGCCAGTGGCTAATCAACATAAAAAAAATACTCAAATTTATTAGTAGGAAAATGCATATTAAAATAATATTGGAATATTACTTTATACCAGGGTTTCTCAACCTTGGCACTTAATATTTTGGATTTGGTAATTCTTTATTGTACTGGGCTGCTCTGTGTATTAGAGGATGCTTAGCAGTATCCCTGGCCGCTACTCTGTAGATGACAGTAGCACCTCCCTTCTAGTAGTGACCATCGAAAATGTCTCTAGACTTTGTCACGTGTGCTAGGGGGTAAAATCATTCCTGGTTATAACTATTGTTGTTAGGTGCTGCCCAGTCTGTTTTGACTCATAGCCACCCCTTGTGAATGGTTTTCTAGGCTGTATAATCTTTTATACAGCCTAGGTCTTTCTCTGGTAGAGCCACTGGTTGAGTTTCAAGTTCCAGCCTTTCAGTTAGCAGCCGAGCACTTAACCACTGCTTATTTATATTCATTAGACTGGCAAAAATTAAACACAGCTGTAACACCTAATGCTGGCAGAAATGGGAGGAAAGTGGTACTTTAAAGTATTATGGTCTTTTGGAAAAGTCTGAATATTGTTAAAAATATGTAAACCTCTTGACTCAGCAGTCCCAGAAAATCTTCATGTGAAGCAACTTGTACTGTGAACAGCCATTCTATAGAACTTCCCTTTTTTTCCTAACAGTTAACTTACCATTTAGTCACTGATTTGAGTCTGTTCCTGAGTAAGTTAGTATTTAATAATTGTTTCCTTTCTTTTCAGAACTCTCTTGATAGAGCCCAAGCAGCCAAGAACAAAGGCAACAAATATTTTAAAGCAGGAAAATACGAACAAGCTATTCAGTGCTATACTGAGGCTATCAGTTTGTGCCCTACAGAGAAGAACGTTGACCTTTCCACATTTTATCAGAACAGAGCTGCTGCCTTTGAACAGTTGGTATGCATCTTAGATTGTATTCATTCTGTTCCTTTTGTTTCTATTTCTTTGTTTAAAGTATCAGTTAATGCAACTCAAGTTTAGCAAATAACTTCATTATTTGAAGTTGTTTTAAATTACAGGATTTTTTGTTTGGTTTTTATTTCCTTTACTTATATAACTTATAAGAACAGATTTTGGTTTTGCTGATTACAGATATAAAGTTATATACTTTTCAGATTTTTTAGAATTAGAAAAATATGCAATATGAAAATTTTTGGTGACACATCCTCCTCAACAGTTTGAAGCTATTTCTTTGTCTCCATATATGTGATAGCTGCATATATGCAGGGAAAAAAGACCAAAGATGAAATCCTGCTATATATATTGTTTGTGATGTCTTTTTTATTTGCCAGTATATCTTGGAAAAAATTTTGTGTCAGCACATGCAGATCTGTTTCATTCTTTTTATAAGCTACGTGTAATAACCATCTTAAAGTTTTATGGTAGAAAACATCACCCTATTTATAGACCTTTTAATTGCTTTCAGTTTTCTGTGTCACGTTCAGTGTTGTAATAAATATTTTTATAAAGTTCTTTTTTGGGAGGAAGCATATTTTTGGGAGTGAAACTATAACGTAAAATTCTAGAAATAGAAATGTAAAGATATAGCAATACCTCCTCCCAGCAGTAACATATAAGCATACTTACTTTCCCATGTTCTTATTGACTTCATGATCAGTCTTAATACTTTTTGGTGTTCTGGTAGGAGAGAAAGACTATCACGTTGTTTTACATTTTGCAGTGTTGTTGAAATTGAGCATTCTTTTCTATGTTTATTTGGCATTTGTGTTCTTTGCATTTATTTGTTCACTCAAGTTTTATTGATTAACTTATTACTAGAGGTTATTTTGGAAGGAGGTGGAGATATAAAAGTGGACAGTGTAAGCATTGGACTCCATTAGCTAAGCAGTAAACTATTAAATGATAAATTTTGATAAATGCTTTGAAGAAACAGAGTTCTGTAATGACTGATGGGGGGAATGGTACAAGAACAGAGGAGAAGAGAGTGTTACAAATAGAAGAAACAGTATGTATCATTGTGCTGAGGCATTAAAGAGTTTGGTATATTTAAAGAAGCATAAGTTCCAGGAGCACAGAGAGATGAAACTGGAGATAGGTAGGGGCTAGATCAGGCAAGGCCTTATAGGGAATGGTAAGGAGTTTGGATTTGATTCTGAGTATACTAGGAAATATTTAAGGATTTTAAGTGGGGCAGAAACATTACTAAACTCTACTATTCTGTCAAGAATTTTTTAGAAGGATGCAAGAATGGAAGCATGGAGACTGAAGTAACGTTGTTGCAAAAGCCTGGGTAAGGCATGAAGGAAAGCTGAAGACCCAACAGAACTTTCTGTTGCTTTGGATATGAGGGTGAAAGAGAAGGAGTAATTTTAATAACAGTGGGAGTTATGGGGGCAAGCAGCAAAGGAGGGAGACAGCCAAGTACAGCTGTCCAGTAGGTAGTTGAATTGATAAACTTACTTTAAGAGAATGGTTTGGACTAAAGAGATAAATTTGAGAGTCATCTAATTTTATTTATGTATTTAACTGCATGGTACTATAATTTTATTTTTAAATTACCTATAATGCACCCTTTAAAATTTTCCTAATTAGAAAAAAAAAAAAAAAATGCCCTAATTACAGATAGGATAAATTTGTAAGAGTCATCTAATTTTAGATGTTTATAAAGCCAGAACAATAATGATCACCTAGGGAGAGAGATGAGGCCTTGAGAAATCCAGCATGTAGAGATGAGGTGGAAGGGAGAATTCAGCAAAGGAAATGAAAAAGGAGCAGTCAGTGAGGTAGGTGGACAACAGGTAGAATGACAACTCTTTGAAGAATGGCAATAAAGAGGAGCTGTAAAATGGGGCAGTAACTGTAGGGATGGAATTGGGAGAGTTTTTTAAGATGGAAAATACTAGAGCAAGTGTTTTTATGCTCTTGGGAATGATTCAGTAGAAAAGCATGTTGATGCAGAGAAGGGATAATGGAAAAGCATGAAGTGATTTCAGGTAACAGTAGGGTTGGCCTTTGATAGGGAGGGTTGCTTCCTTAGTTGCAGCAGGAGGGAAGAAGGAGGTGATGTGAGCACGTAGATCCAGATATGTTTGATGGTAAAAAGATGGCCTGTGTATGTCCTTTGCTTATTTTTAAAAATCAGGTTTATTGCTACAGATATTTATATGTGCTTTTATAATTTTGGATATTGGGTACTGACTCTATATGTGTTGCAAATTTTTTTTTCTGCTGTGGGACTCTCATTCTCAGACTGTCAAATTTGGAAAAGTAGTGTCTGTCAAGCAGTGCTTGCTTTAGTATGACTTTTTTTTTAATACTTTCAATTACAGCAAAAATGGAAAGAGGTGGCACAAGATTGTACAAAGGCTGTTGAACTTAATCCCAAATATGTGAAAGCACTCTTTAGACGTGCAAAAGCCCATGAGAAGCTAGACAATAAGAAGGAATGTTTAGAAGGTGAGGGCATTTTTTGTCTTTATATATATAAATTACGAAAGGCTCTCTGGTCATTGCTAAATTTACATGAAGCTCTGCCTTGTGACTAATAAATTATAGTTAAATGTTGGATTCTTCTCCAGTTGGGACTTTGTTTTCCAGTTTAAATTGAGATTGCTGATACTTAAAAATTGTTTTTGTTTCCAATTGTGGAATTAAATGAGTATTAACATTTGGAGTTATACTGTACACTTTAAACTTGGTATTTAATGAGCATTTTATAATTCCGTGAATAATCAGAAAATTCAAAAAGAGCTTTAGCAAGTGATAGTGTTTCTTAGATTTTACGTTATTACCAGTTAATATCTTGTATAAATAATGAAGTAGTTTTAAGAGGAATCATTAAGGAAAACATTTATTTTTTTGCCCCTGGTATTCTCAAAGATTATTTTTTTACCCAGTTGGAAATTATGTGATTGGCATAAGCATGAAGGTGAATTTATCACTCTCAAAAATGTTATAAATATTCTGCAGCCTCTGATTGGCCGTATCTGCTGCCAAAACTGCAATTAGTGTATAAGCCCCTGACTTTGAAGTCCATTATTCTAGGTGATATTGGGCTAAACCAGAATGTAATTTCTACAATCTAAAAGTATTTTCCACTACATATTTAAATCTTAATTTAAAAACATCAATAAACATAAAATGTAACCATAATTATTACTTTCAAAAATAACTTTTTTAAAGGGAAAAAGCATTTTTTTAAAAAAGATCTCGATTGCCAAATGAGTATGTTTTAAGGAACATTTTAGAAAAATTGAGGTTTTTGTGCTGTTACCTACTTGATAGTGGGTAGAAGGAGTGATTTGGCAAAGGGAATCCAAAGTTTTGAATCAGGTACTGGAATTACTGACGTAATCATTTGTAGAAGCTGAATGGAATTTTTATAGGAGAAGTAGGATAGAAAAAGACTTTGATATTGATACTAACCAGGCTTTTAGGGGCCTAACAGGTATAACAGCATATTGGCTTATTTGCCAGAGCAGAGATGTGTAATTGTGAGAAATCCAATTCTTTGAATGGAAGGTTGAAAGATTAAAGAGCCACAAATCTTTGAAATTTCAAACGACTGTATCTTGAGCTACAGCATACCCAGATAAAAATGATATTTTAAGGCAGATTTATTTGAGAAAATTGTAGCAAGGTGGCTTTAGAGGCAAGGAATAGCTCTGAGGCCTGTTAAAAAAAGACCAGACATGAGAGATCCACAGTGTTGATTCAGCTTACATTTACTGCCCACAGAAGCATATTCCTGGGTTCCTTATTTGCTATAGAGAAGATATTAGAGCAGTGAAGAGCGTCAGACATCACCAGGTACAGTCCTTTCATTGCACAGATGAGGAAAGTGAACTCCAGAGAAGTAGACTAACTTTTTAAGCTTTGAGTGTTATCATGGAGTATATAAAATCAAGATATCAAGAATCACTTTATAAATTGATTGCCACATAAAGCTATCGATTTAATTAGGCTTTCTGTGGTCACGTTGTGCCCATTTGATGCTGCTAGTCATCTTTGCAATAATTCCATACTAACTCTTGTTTTTTTCCCCATCATGTCTAGATGTGACTGCTGTCTGTATATTAGAAGGATTCCAAAATCAGCAAAGCATGCTGTTAGCTGATAAAGTTCTTAAACTTCTCGGCAAAGAGAAAGCCAAAGAGAAATACAAGGTAAATTAATCTGTGTTGGGTAATGGAATATACATTTTAAAATGTCATTTCTAAATTATACTGCGTAAACTTGGCCATAGTGGTGATGTTAACAACTGAAAATAGAACTGGATTATATTTGTTTTTGGACTTAACTTTTTTCCACAGGAATTAGGCTGTGTCCAGCACTATATCTGGAGAATATTGGAAGGATTTATTGGTATTAGGGATCACCAAACTATGGCCCAGGAGCCAAATCCATTTGCTGCCTGTTTTTTTTTTGTTGTTGTTTTTCCTTCATTTACTAAAAATACTTCTTAAATTACCTAAGTTTGCTGCCTGTTTTATAAATAAAGTTTAATTGGAACACAGCTATACCGAGTGATTGCACCAAAGACCATAAGGCCTTCAAACCCATCTGACCCTTTAGAGAAATAATTTGCCCACCCTTGTTCTTCATTATTAAAGTTTCTAGGCAGTTCTAGGTGGTTAGATGGTTTAATTCAACACTTATGGTCCTTGCCCTTAATAAAATAAAAATTTAGGTGAGAGAGTTAATAACTAAATAACTTATAGTTAGTAATTATAAATAACTATAAGTAGCTCATAGTTAATAACTATAAGAAAATATGATATCATTAAATGTCCAAGGAGAGATGTAAGTAGAGTGTCATAGGAGTACTATAGGTATCACTAAACTAGAAGAAGCCCTGATGGTAGAGCAATTAAGTGCTTGGCTACTAACTAAAAGTTCAAGGTTCAAATTCATTCAGTGGCTCCATGCAAGAAAGGCCTGGCAATCTAATTCTGTAAAGATTACAGCCTAGAAGACCCTATGGAGTTCTACTCTGTCACATTGGGTCACTATTAGTCAGAACCAACTTGATTGATGGCCCTAACAACAACAAACATCACTGGAGATTCTCTGCTAAGTTTCAGTATATGGAGGCAATTATTTTTCTTTGTTTCCTTTAACAATAACTTGCTTTTCTCTTAAATTCCTTTTAATGAGTGGTGTGAATTTTTAATTTTATATCTCTAAGTGTTTTTGAACAGGTTTCTTTACCATAGGATTTTAATGTGCTAAGATGTTTTGTTAACTGAATCTCCAAGTGAGATACAGCTGTAATGGTTCCTTTTTTTTTCTTCCCATGATCTTCTCATGCCACTAATGATGCTCAAAACACTTTGTATTAGTCTCATAAATTGAACCTCAAAGGAATGTGGTTTTCTTGTACATTTATTTAATTTTATGGGTGGTATAAACAGTTAATATGTGGGCTACTAACCAAAAAGTTGGAAATTTGAGTCTGCACGGAGACACCTCAGAACAAAGGCCTTGTGATCTGCTTCCAAAAAGCCAGCTATGGAGTACAGTTCTCCTCTGACCCACATGGGGGTGCCCTGAGTGAAAATCAAGTCAGTAACAGCTGATTTATTGTTAAGTCATCAGACTGATTGGTTTGAAAGGTGCAAAGAAAATATAAGGCCATCTGTGGGCATTTGGGGAGCTCTGGTAGCATAGTGGCTAAGACACTTGCTTGCTAACCAGACGGCTGGCGGTTCAAACCCACCAGCCACTCCTCGGAAGGAAGGTTGGGCAATCCTACTTCCGTAGTGATACTGCCTCGGAAACCCAAGGAGGGGTCGCTATGAGTCAGGTTTGACTCGACGGCACATAACAACAACAACAATGGGCATTTGACTGCTAACCAGAAGCTGACAGTTCAAACCCATCAGCCACTCTTTGGAAGGAAGATTGGGTGATCTGCTGCCATAGTGATACCATCTCAGAAACCCAATGAGGGGTCGCTATGAGTCGGATCCAACTGACAGCAATGGGTTTGGGTTGTTTTGTTTTGTTTTTCATACATATGTAAATAAGCTCTGGTGTGGCAGTGGTTAAGGTTTTTAGCGACTAACCAAAAGGTTGGTGGTTCGAATCCACCAGCTGCTCTGCGGAAGAAAAATGAGGCCGTCTGTTCCCATAAATATTTATAGCCTTGAAAACCTATATGGGGCAGTTCTACTCTGTCCTATAGGGTTGCTGTGAGTAGGAATCAACTCAATAGCAGTAGGGCTTTTTTTTTTTTTAAATACTTAATATAAGTTCCAAATCATACTCACCATATATTTTCTAGTTTTTTTTATGTGACTTCGTAAATCACAAAATACTTTTTACGTTTTCATTTTGATATTTACGTCAACCCTATAAGGTAAATATGGCAAGTGGTTTTACTACCATTTCAGAGATAAGCAAATTGAAAATAGAGCTTCAGTGATACACATAAGATTACATAGATAATAATTTGCAAAGCTAGAATTTAGATACTGAAGTCCACTACATGTAACATTTGTTTTCACTTTAAATGTGTGGAAGGCAGGGAGGTGATAGCTTCATTTCTAAACTGAAATAGGAAACTAAAAGGTAAAGTAAAGAATATTGTTCACTTAATGGCTGTACATTTGATTTAAAATATTTATTTGTATAATCTTAAAATTAGGACTCTTGAATCTCTCGCCAGAAAGCCCACAAAGGTAAATGGGGATTTTCCCTGAGATTTCTTGTTCAATTTTCTGTCCCACTCTTATCTATCTTAGATTAAATCATTTACTAACTCAGAGAAGGAGCCAGACTATAGGATTAACTATGCCTATGAACCACAGCCTCCTCTACCCTGAGAACAGAAGAACTGGATGATACCCTGCTACCACCACTGAACATTCTGATCAGGGTCAAAATAGATGGATCCTGATAGAAAGGGAGAAAAATGTGAAGCAGAACTTCAAATTCTTGAAAAATCCAAACTTACTGGATCCTTTGAGACTGGAGGAATCCCTGACATTATTACCCTGAAATACTCTTTAAACCTTAAACTGAAACTATTCCCTGAAGTCACCTTTTAACTAAATAGCAGGTTAGTTCATTAAGTTAAAAATATCACCATTGAGTATTATCTACCTTTGAAAAGTCATCTACATGAAACCATATGGTCAACAGTTACTCTAAAGCATAAATGAGAAGGTTTGAGGGGCAGTGGGAACGGAACAACTCGAAATCAGAAGACTATAACCGATGTCAGAGTCATGTGTAGAAATTGTTGAATGGGAACCTGTTTTTGCCATGTACACTTTGACCAAAAATACAGTATATATTAAAAAAGAAAATTTACTTACCAAGCTAGATTCCTTTTTTTCCTCCTTCAAATACAGAAACATTAAATCTACCAAAATAACAGCAATGACATTTGTTTATATACATATGGTTTTACATGCCATATTTTTATTAACTCTTTGGGTTGACTTTTATAGTACAGGATCCAAAATGTATTATGAGAGCCCTTTGGCTGTTGTTCCCTTTCCCTTTTCCTTTAAAACTTATCATCCTAATTGTACTTCTTAAGGAAAAACAAAATCCTATAATTATAAGTCAGGTCTCCATGCCCAAACAAATAATTAAAACAGGAAAATATGACTTCAGTCTGATATTCAGTGGCACTTACTTGGATAAGATCTTCAGTTACAGTGTTCTCAGTAAGATTCTGCACGTCACTGCTTTTGAGTCTATTCGACTCATAGCGACCCCTCCTTGGGTTTCCAAGGTGGTATCTCTATGAAAGTAGATTGCCCCATCTTTCTTCTGAGGAGTGGCTGGTGGATTTGAATTCTAGCCTTCTGGTTAGCAGTCATAGCCTTAGGTACTATGCCATCAGAGCTCCCTCAGTAAGATTACAAGACAGATAATGTCTCAACGTTTTCAGCATCTGTTTAAGAAGTAACCTTGAGTGGTAAATCCAGATGCTAGTCTGCTAGGACAGAAACCAGAACAAGATAGTTTTAACAATGCAGTTATTTGCCTTCTGTGTTAAGATTTTGCTGCTTTTTACTTTTGGTGGTGATTCTAAGAGTGCATAATATTTTACATCTTTTGGAGAGGGGAATGGTTGGGCAATCTACTTCCGTAGTGATACTGCCTCGGAAACCCAAGGAGGGGTTGCTATGGGTCAGATCCGACTCCACGGCAGTGGTTGTATTGTTGTTGTTGTTTACAACTGCTGGAACTGACACCTTCACCATTTCAACTGTCTCTTGTCTTATGGCTTGGAGCTCAATATTCTGAAAATGAAATTTCAGTTTTTTAACCACAGTTATCTAAGTATTCTACAAATATACCTTTTTTTTGGTTAGTTTTTTCTCATTTTCGTACTCTTAACCATGATTAAATTTCAGAATCGTGAACCTCTGATGCCATCTCCACAGTTTATCAAATCTTACTTCAGTTCTTTCACGGATGATATCATTTCTCAGCCCATGCTTAAAGGAGAGAAATCTGATGAAGATAAAGACAAAGAAGGGGAGGTGTTAGAAGTGAAAGAAAAGTAAGTATATCAAGCATAGTGTCGGCTTAATGTTCTGTTTGTTTGCTGCTGTGAAATTGCCCTGGAGCCCAAGTGGCCTCTGAATCATCTCAAAAAAACAATTAATGGTTAAGCGCTTAGCTGCTAACCAAAAGATTGGCAGTTTGAACCTACTCAGTGGCTCTGTACGAGAAGGACCTGGTGATCTGCTCCTGTAAACAAAACCTTATGGGACAGTTCTACTCTGTCACGTCAGTTGCTATGAGTCGGACTCAACGGCCCCTAACAACAACTATATATATATATATATACTTCAAGCATGTATCTGTTACAGCTTTAAAGTTACTTCTCTGGTGACTCAAGGTTTTACTGCCAAGTCTGCCCTGCTTTTATAGTCCTACGTGATATTTTGAAGAAGATTCCCAGGGAGTCAAGTTGTTCACTGCATTTGAATAAGTGGCATTAAATTGAAAATTATTGTGTGGCTCAACTGTAACTATTTTAGTGCAGGGAAGTTTTCATTTATAAACTGTTAGATGTTTAGGCATGCCCAAGAGTGAATTTCTTCAAGGTTTCTTCTGCTTGCCTAGCCAAATGATATTCTTTGGGCTTTCTGTAGTTGATCCTGTAGACAGCTGAAACCAAAGTACAGGGTACTGTGTTTATAGGTGGGAATCAAGTGATCAATACTTGTGCTTGGCTGTTAAAACTAGCTCTCTTTGAAAGAAGGTATAGTATTATTACTGACATACTTTTTGATGAATTTGGAAGAAGGAACAATATTGTTCCTGTAGGAGCTCTGGTGGCATAGTACCTAAGGCATTTCACTGCTAACCAGAAGGCTGGCAGTTTAAACCCACCAGCCACTCCTTGGAAGAGGTTGGGCAATTTACTTCCATAGTGATACTGCCTCAGAAACCCAAGGAGGGGTCACTGTGAGTTGGATACAACTCAACGGCAGTGAGCTTGGTTTTGTTTTGGAGCAAAGCATAACTGGATTTTGCATCCATTGAGTATTAGAGGATGTGGGGAAAACAATTGCTTTTAATTGCTTTATCTCCCAACTTTTCTACCATTGTTGGCCACCTTCAAGGGAAGGATACTGTGCATAATCATGCCAAAATGCTAAAAATTTAGTCAGTTGACTAAGTAATTGTTCAGAATCTTTTAGAACATTGTAGTTGGGAAGTAAATATTTAAGATGTCATGTAGCGGAGTTCCAGCAAGATGGCAGACTAGGCAGAAAGACTGCACAGACCCTCTTCAACAAAGAAAAGGGAAACCAATTAACACAGACACAGAAGAAGATAATCTTGGACCCCTGAGCCTTGAATGGAAGGATATAGAAGTGGACTAAACCCCAACTAGCAGAAGAATTTGTGTGAAAATACCAAAAAAGGAGATATAC